CGCCACATACGTTGCACCACATAGCTTACACCACATGGACTTCACAACTCCCATGCTGAACTTTTATTGCGCCACATAGCACGCACCGCGCAATATCCTAAAACACGTTCGGGGGCCCCGCTGGCCACTTCTAGAGATGCCCCGTGCGAGACGGCCATGCAAAGCGGGAGCGGCGACACCAACAATCGCCTCTGAACTCTGCACCCTCGAACAGATGCGCATGAGATAGCGGACGCATGGCTTCCGCACAGCAGCGGAGAACTGTTCCTATGACCATTCGTTTCGGATGGGCCCACTGAGGTCGTCACATGTCGCAAATGGATGTTGGGTCGTGCCTGGGTCACTTTTCACTCGCGCTGACTGCTAGTTTCTCTCGTGCGCTTTCTGGGCCGAGGGGTATGGCATTGATTTTTCGCGGGTGTTTTGAATATCATATTTCATCTGCTCCCCCATCGAGAGGACGACAATATGCATGCCTCCCATACAAGCAGTCCTTCCATACGTGTCGCACCACCTCTGGACGACGCGGTGCCCATGGAAGATGACTTCGGCCCAGTGGATGATGACGACGCCAATCCCGTGGGGGGGGCTGTTCCAGAGCCTGTCGTGGAAACTACCCCATCTCCTGCGACCGCATCTTGGAAGAAAAGGGGCCGCCCTAAAAAAGGTTGGGATGAGCTTTGCAGGCAGCGGTGCAGCGGCACGATGTCTCTGCGCGAGGAAGCGAACGCTTGTAAAACAAAAGGCAAAATCCACGCGGACGCCTTCACGAAAAGCAGCTGGGACACGCAGCCCTCGATGATCGCCAGATGCAAATGCAGTTCGCGCACGTGCACGAAGTCTTGGTGCCCCTTCTCTGCGCTTTGCCATCTTCCTGCCGTCGGGCCGCATGCATGGTCGCTTTCTGCAGCGCATGGGAAATAGCAGACGGGGGGCGCATGGAATGGCACGGGACCGATAATGGAATACTAAAGTGACAGGAAAGCGCGGTTGGTTTCTCACATGCGGCGCGCTATCTTCCTATTTCCATCCGGCCTTGGGTGTCCAAGTGTGTTGCTGAGAGGGCCTACGTGCCGAAGTTGTCTGCTGATGTTGACTGGGGGAGATGGACCCTTAGCACAGTAGCGCGCACTGCGCTGACAGAGACCCCAGTGAATAATGCGTGCGTTGCATGAGTTCTTCCCTAATAGCCTCCTCGTCCGCACTCGGTGCGCCCGCTTCTTCGACGAGGTGGCCGAGGAGACCGCGACAAAATGGCTTGTTGTTTGCACTTCGGGGACATGCGATGGCACCAAGGCCGTCAAGCAGCGGAAGCTCGAGCTAGCCAAGAAACCACGATTCGCTCGCCTCGTGCGCGTAGAACTCCAGGGGGGCCCCGAGGTGAGGATGATGCTGCTGGTGACGGTGGTGATCCTGCTGCTGTTGCAGATGATGTGGTGCAGATTCATGTGTTCATGATGGTCGTGATGATCATGATACTGATGATGGTGTTGATGGTGGTGGCGATAGGTGGTGGACTGGTACCGATCAAGCGGATCATGATGAAAATGCAGATAATGACTGCGCTGATTATGATGACGCGGATGATGCTGCTGTTGATAGTGATCATGATGATGAGGATGGTGCTCATGATGATGAGTGTGATGCAGATAGTGATGATGCGGATGGTGAGGAGGTGGGTGAGGAAGCGGAGGATGAGAAGGGCGAAGGAAGAAGAAAAAGGAGGTGGAGGAATGGGATGATGATGGGGGGCCTCCGCAATGAGGGCATTTTCCCGTGACTTCTGAAACCGACACTTTTTGATACAATCCTTCTTGAAGGGCGCAGGTGGTCCCCAGGGTCTGGACGCCATGTAGTAGTTGTACATCGGACTGCCCAGGTCAGGGATGCCAAGTTTGCAGAGCTCATTGGGCTCATGGGGCTTGCAGGGCTCATGGAGCTAGCTGTATTCATCAGGGCAAGCCCCACTGCAGGGTAGCTCCATAATCCTTCCTCGTTTTTCCGTGCTTGCAGGGCTCGCAGGCCTCACGGGGCCCGCTGGGCTAATAGAGCTCGCGTTGCTCGCAGGGCGGTGCGCCCTTGGGATTCAAGACCGATAGTGCTCTAAACTCCCTCCACACCAGGACCGCGTGGCGCAGGCAGCTAGCGATCATGGTGCTGGTGCCCGAGCCTGTTGCCCAATGGCAGGGCCCATGTGCGAGGAGAAGGCTCATAGGGCTCATAGGGCTCATAGGGCTCATAGGGTTCTTAGGGCTCATAGGGCTCATAGGGCTCATAAGGCGCATAGGGCTCATAAGGCTCATAGGGCACAGAGGGCTCATTGGGCTCACAGGGCTCATAGGGCCATAGGGCTCATAGGGCTCATAGGGCTCATAGGGCTCATAGGGCTCATAGGGCTCATAGGGTTTATAGGGCTCATAGGGCTCATAGGGCTCATAGGGCGCATAGGGCTCATAGGGCTTCTAGGGCTCATAGGGCTTGCTCATAGGGCTCATAGGGCTCATAGGGGACCTTGGGCTTCTAGGGCTCCTAGGTGGTGCTGCTGGCGCTGCTGATACTGCTGGTTGTGCTGCTGCTGCTGCTGCCGGTGCTGCTGGTGACTTCCGAGCGGACCGATTTTGTTACAATCCTCCCTGGAGGGTTCAGGAAGCTCCCTGACCCTGGCCACCTCCTTATTGGATAGCGTGTTGTGTTAAAGTTGTGTTGCAAGTTTGGGCCCTCTTGGAGCCATCTTGGGGCCCTCTTGGGACCCTCCTGGGCCCTTTTGGGGCCTTGCGGAAGCCCTCTGAGGGCTTCAAGGGGCCTCCAAGAGGGCCAAGACTTTAACAGACATTTAACAGAAACCACCTCCTTCTTGGAGAGCGTGTTCTGTCAAATTTCTCTTAACTTTGGGGCCCTCATGGGGCCATCTTGGGGCCATCCTGGGCCCTCCTGGGGCCCTGCGAGAGGGCCCTCCAAGAGGGCCAGGAGTTTAATACAAATTTAACAGAAACCAGCTCCTTCTTGGAGAGCGTGTTCTTCAAAATTTCTGTTAAATTTGGGCCCCTCTTGGGGCCTTTTTGGGGCCCTCTTGGAACCCTCCTGGGCCCTTTTGGGGCCTTGCGGGGGCCCTCTGAAGGCTACAAGGGGCCTCCAAGAGGGCCAAACATTCAACAGAAATTGAACAGAAACCACCTCCTTCTTGGAGAGCGTGTTCTGTTAAATTTCTGTTGAATTTGGGGCCCTCTTGGAGCCATCTTGGAGCCCTCTCGGGGCCATCCTGGGCCCTCCTGGGGCCTTGCGGGAACCCCCATGGGGGCTTCAAGGGGCCTCAAGGCGGGCCAAGAATTCAACATAAATGTAACAGAAACCACCTCCTCCTTGGAGAGCGTGTTCTGTCAAATGTCTGTTAAATTTGGGGCCCTCTTGGGGCTTGGGGCCCTCTCGGGGCCATCCTGGGCCCTCGTGGGACCTTGCGGGAACCCCCATGAGAGCTTCAAGGGGCCTCAAGGAGGGCCAAGAATTCAACAGAAATATAGCAGAAACCACCTCCTTCTGGGAGAGCGTGTTCTGTTAAATTTCTGTTAAATGTGGGGCCCTCTTGGGGCCTTATTGAGGCCTTCTTGGGACCCTCCTGGGCCTTCTTGAGGCCCTCTTGGGGCAAACACACAGACACACACACATGGACATGGACACGGACACGGACACAGACACACACGGACACACACGGACACACACAGACACACACGGACACACACGGACACACACGGACACACACGGACACACACGGGCACACACAGACAAACACACACACACACACACACAGACACACACAGACACACACACACAGACACAAATAGACACAGACACACTGACACACACTGACACACACACACACACTGACACAGACGGACACACACGGACACACACTGACACACACACACACACTGACACACACACACACACACACTGACACACACTGACACACACTGACACACACTGACACACAAACACACACGCACGGACTCACACGCACGCACACACACACACACAAACACACACACACGGACACACACGGACACACACACGGACACACACGGACACACACGGACACACACGGACACACACGGACACACACACACACGGACACACACGGACACACACGGACACACACGGACACACACGGACACACACGGACACACGGACACACGGACACACACACACACACTCACACACGGACACACACACACACACACGGACACACACGGACACACACGGACACACACGGACACACACGGACACGGACACACACACACACGGACACACACACACGGACACACACACACACACACGGACACACACATGGACCCACACACACACACACACACACACAAACACACACACACACACAGACACACGGTCACAAGTTTCCCAGGCGCTTTGCGGCCGCCACTGGCGCTTTCCAGGCAGGCGCCCCCTCGGCACCCTCGAAGATTAAACTGGGATAAGATATTTCCTTGAATGGTGTAGAGATTGAATTCCGATTTAATCCGTTCTCCCACTGCAAGAACGCACTGCTGTAAGGATTAAATCGAGATTTCATCCGTAGTAAAATCGAAAAACCGGCCGTTTAGGCCCACCCCCCTGAGCCTGAGCCCGACACCCCAGAGGCTCTTTCAGACCCCTAACCTTTATGAACACCGAATTCGGGGTAAACGTTTACACCGACTGGACCCATCCTGGAAGAAGGAGGCGCGGGTCTCCAGTCCTTCGCAGCTCCTTTGTGCAAGAGCCAGGGCACGCGTGCCACTTGTTTAAGACATCTGGCCCAGCTTCCCAGAAGCTTCTTGAGATAAGCCTGAGCTTGCTGTTAACGCTGGATGGGGCGAGCGTGCTCGAGAAACTGGGCCAGTTTTGCGGCAAGGTGGCCAAGAAACGCTGGCCGAGCTCTTCGGGAGGGGGGTTCTGAATCAGATGCTCGGCTGTGGCAGTCTGGCAGTTCAGCCTCAAAGCCTGCCCAACTACTGCACAATGGCAAAAATCGTGCCTGCATTGCCGACGGTGGTGACCCAACCGACCAGACCATCGGACTTAGCTCGGCACTTCATCCGTGTGAGACCCGACTTCTCCTCTTTCTTCGGGAACTCTCTCACCTCGAGGAGCTCCCCCTCCTTGAGCTTGCGGGTCGGATCCTTCGCCTTCTTGTCCACTACGGCGTCCAGCTCGAAGGCAGGTGTCATGATGGTCTCCTTGACGACCTTGAACAGGCTGCCACCGTCCTTCAGGTACACCGTGCCCTGGTTGCCCTTGAGGGTCACCCATCCCTCAACGCCATCCTTCATTGCCTTCGCACGGATCCGCATCACCCCTGCCGAGCCGTCCTCGATGGGGCCCTCAAGCACCTCCACGACCTCGCCCACCTCCATGCGGCGGAGCGTCCGGGTTTCCTTGTCCTCGATGCTCTTTCCCGAGGACAAAGCCGTCTCTGCAGAGACCTTCATTAGAGTTCGGACGAGAGCGAGAAGCCTGTCCTCGCTGAGGGTGCTCTCCTCGTCCTCGTCAAAGTGCTTGAAGACCCTCGCGAGCTCCGCGTCCGACGGCGGGTCACTCTTGGGTGCAGGCTTACCGTCCTCGACCTTGGGCTCCTCCTTCTTGCAGGTGGCGAAGAACTTGAGGAAGTCCGCCTCGCTCACGCGCCCGTCCTTATCAGCATCGAACTGCTCGAACATGGCGTCCTTTGAAAGCTTGCCCTCCTTCTGGTGGTACCGGATCATGCTGAGCACCTGCTTCTCCAGCGTGCTCAGCTCCGCGCGCTCCTTTCTCCTCGCGCTCTCTTCAAAGCTGGCGCACTTGGCGGTGGCAGTCGCGAGCCGGGGCTCCCAGCTCTTCGTCCTCTTCTCTAGCTTGGAGACCTCCGCGAGCATCCACGCCTTGAGCTCCTCCTCCACGCCCTCCCTGAGCGCCTCCAGCTCCGCCTTCGCCCCGCCGAGGCTGTCCCTCGCCTCTTCGATCGAGGCGCTGGCCTCGCCGACCAGCTGGAGCATCTCCGTCGACGCGAGCTCCTTCGCCTTGACCGGCAGGGGCTTCGCTGCCGCCTCCGCCTTCTTGACGAGCTCCTCGCACTTCTCGATCACATGCAGCGCCTCCTGGACCTTCTCCTGCAGCCCAGCCTTGACGTTCGCAAGCTCCGCTTCTTTCTTCACCCTCACCTCGCGGAGCTCGTCGTCCTTTGTCTTCACGAAGGCGATGCCGACGGCCACCTTCAGCCGTTGGAGCGACTCCTTCTTGATCCCCTTGGGGTCCTGGGCAAGCGTCGTGAAGATATCATTGAGCGGCTCTGCTTTGATAGCGAACTTGAAGACGCCCTGGGCATAGCTCTTCACCTCGGCCTTGCTCAAGAAACCGTCCTTGTCCTTGTCATATGTATCAAACACCTTCTTCATCTCGTCCAGCTTTCGGGTCGCCTCAGACTTCTTGACCGCCTTCACCTTCGCTGCCGCCGCGAACCTATCCGTGGAGTCCGTATCCTTAGCGCTCTCGCGCACCCTCGTCATTAGCTTACTCCACTCGGCCTTGATGTCGGTCTGACCCTCCCTCTTCGCAATGTTCGTGTCTTTCGAGTGCTCCTTCGTGAAGTCCGTGCAGAGCTTCAGCTTCGCCTTGGCCTCTGCGCTCGCCCCCTCGACCGCATCTGCCGCGGCCGTCACGCTCTCCAGGCCGGCCCCGTCCTCAGACAGCGGCTCGGCCGCCTCCTGGACCTTCCTCGAGGCTGCCTCCGCGTCCGTGACCAGCTCGCCCAGCCTCGCCAGCAGCCCCTCGGCCTTCTCCTGCAGCTCCTTGCGCTTCGCCTCGGCATCAGCTGCGGCCTTCTTGGCCGCCTCGAGGCGCGCAACTGTCTGCTCGACGGCCTTATCGGCATCCTCTTTGATCTTATCTTTGATGGAGCCGCAGGCTTCCAACTCTTTGGCCATGATCTCGCTCAGTTCCGTCTTGAGCTGCTGAAGGGTGTCGTCAGTGGCGCCGCGCACCTTCTGGATGACCCTACGGATATTGAGGGCCGCCGTCTGCTCGGCCTTCTTCTTGATCGCCGCCTCCTCGAGCTTCTTCTTCTCCTCCTCCGCCTTCCTCTTGAGCTCCTGCTGCTGCTGCTGTATCTGCTGCAGCTTCAACGCGTTCTGCTGGGCCTGCTGGGCCTGCTGGGCCTGCTGGGCCTGCCAATCGCTCGGCTTGCCCCCGCCCTTGCCCTTGTCCTTGTCCTTGCCGTTCTTGAAGCCTTCCTTGGCACCCTTCCCGAAGTCTTTGCCGCTGCCCTTCCCGAAGTCCTGGCCGCCACCCTTCCCGAAATCCTTCCCGCCCTTGCCGAAGTCCTGGCCGCCGCCCTTCCCGAAATCCTTCCCGCCCTTACCGAAGTCCTTGCCGCCGCCCTTCCCGAAATCCTTCCCGCCCTTGCCGAAGTCCTTGCCGCCGCCCTTCCCGAGGTCCTTCCCGCCCTTGCCGCCCTGCTGCCAGGCCTGCTGCTGCTGCTGCTGCTGCTGGGGCCACTGCGCCTGCGGCGGCGGCTGTGCCGCCAGCAGGCCCCCGCCGGCCTTGCCTCCCCAGGCCTGCTGGCCGGCGGGGGGCGGAGCCGACGACCTCGAGCTGAGGGCCATGGTCACGTCGACGGGGCCGTCGTACGGCACCTTCCACCCGGATTTCGGCGGCGTCGGGGTGTTCATCGGGTGGTGCGACCAAACCTGATCGCCTCCTACTTTCGGGCCGAACCACCAGCCGCTGAAGGCCGCTCCGTCGCGCTCGTCCCAGAAGTAGAGCATCACGTCTAAGCCATTCACCTGGGCGTCCTTTTTATAGGTCGGCTTCCCGTGGTTCTGGGAGGCGAGCGTATAGGTTCCGCGCACGATGCTGCCGACGGTGCCATGCGTACAGCCGCTGACCGCGATCTGGCGATCGGGCCCGACCATCTCCACGTGGCCGCCGACAGGCGGATGCATCTGCATCGCAATCCGCCGCCCGCCCTGGCGCAGCCCCCAGCTCGGCCCCGCCCGGACAGCTGCGCCCAGCACCCTGCAGCGCTGAGGCCCAAACAGCTTCTCGAGCTAAAACCACGGAGCCAAGGAAGGGGAGGAGGAGGACCAGCGTAAACCCAAGACCCATCAACGATTTTGCAATAAACCCTCCCTCCAAGCTCCCCCTTCATATGCCCCTACAAGGATTTATCCCCCAAGCAGCTTGCTGAACGGGGTGCTGTTGTGATAGAAGCTAACTCTGGCCGAGGGAAGCCGGAGCAGAGACATCCTCACAAAAATTTGATGGTCCGGGCCGTTTCGCTTGAGACATCCTCGAAACTCTGAGCCCCGAGGTGCCGTGCGAGAGGTGGTCTGGGCCGTTTCGCCTGAGACATACTCGAAACTCTGAGCTCTGAGATGCCTTGCGTGAGGTGGTCTGGCCCGTTTCGCCTGAGACATCCTCGAAACTCTGACCTCGGAGATGCCGCGCGAGAGGTGGTCCGGCCCGTTTCGCCTGAGACATCCTCGCAACTTCTGAGCTCTGAGATGCCCTGCGCGAGGTGGTCCGGCCCGTCTCGCCTGAGACATCCTCGCAACTCTGAGCTCTGAGATGCCGTGCGCAAGGTGGTCCAGCCTGTTTCGCACAAGACATTCTGGCAACTCTGAGCTCCCAGATGCGGCGCAAGAGGTGGTCCAGGCTGGGGGCCCAGAAGACCACATGTTGGGACCCTGGGAGCCCGCCTGAGACATCCTCGAACTTCTGAGCTCTGAGATGCCCTGCGCGAGGTGGTCCGGCCCGTCTCGCCTGAGGCATCCTCGCAACTCTGAGCTCTGAGATGCCGTGCGCAAGGTGGTCGGGCCTGTTTCGCACAAGACATTCACGCAACTCAGAGCTCCCAGATGCCGCGCAAGAGGTGGTCCAGCCTGGGGGCCCAGAAGACCACATGTTAAATATCCTCCCTGGGACCCTGGGAGCCCCAGGAGGCCCCAGAGAGCTCCAGGAGGCCGCAGGACGCCCAGGACAGGCCCCAGGGGTCCCCAGGAGATTCCCAGGAGGCTCCCAGGAGGCCCCAGGAGGCCCCAGAACGTGTCAAGTTAGTACACATCCAGTGTCGATTCGTTGATTTTTCCTGCTCTTGTGGCCCCCCCTCCATTTTGAGGGGCCCAAGCGGGCACAGGTTAGATATCCCCCCTGGGAGTGCCAAGCAGCTTCAGGAAACCCCAGGTGGAGTTCAGGAGGCCACAGGAGGCCAAGGAGGAAGCCCCAGGAGGTCCCCAGGAGGCCCCAGGAAGCACCAGGAGGCCCCCGAAACTCGGAGCTCTGAGACGCCGCGCTCGAGGTGGTTTGGCCCGTTTCGCCTGAAACTTCCTCGCAGCACGTTTCGCTCGAGGCACCGGCCCGTCTCGCCTGAGACATCCTCGCAACTCTGAGCTCTGAGATGCCGTGCGCAAGTTGGTCCGGCCCGTTTCGCACAATACATTCTCGCAACTCTGAGCTCCCAGACGCCGCGCAAGAGGTGGTCCAGCCTGGGGGCCCAGAAGACCACATGTTACATATCCCCCCTGGGACCCTGGGAGCCCCAGGAGGCCCCAGAGAGCTTCAGAAGCCGCAGGACGCCCAGGACGGGCCCCAGGGGTCCCCAGGAGATTCCCAAGAGGCTCCCAGGAGGCCCCAGGAAGCCCCCTATCAGAACGTGTCAAGTCAATATACATCCGGTGCCGATTCGTTGATTTTTCCTGCTCTTGTGGCCCCCCACCCATTTTGAGGGGCCCCGACGGCCACATGTTAGATATCCCCCCCTGGGAGCCCCAAGAGGCTTCAGGAAGCCCCAGGTGGGGTCCAGGAGGCCACAGGAGGCCCAGGAGGAAGCCCCAGGAGGTCACCAGGAGGTCCCAGGAGGCCCCAGGAGGCCCACGCAACTCGGAGCTCTGAGACGCCGCGCTCGAGGTGGTCCGGCCCGTTTCGCCTGAGACTTCCTCGCAGCACGTTTCGCCCGAGACATCGTCGCAACTCTGGGGTCCGAAATGCCGCGCGCGAGGTGGTCCAGCCCGTTACGCTGGAGACATCCTCGCAACTCTGGGCTCCGAGATGCCCTGCGCGAGGTGGTCCGGCCCATCTCGCCTGAGACATCCTCGCAACTCTGAGCTCTGAGATGCCGTGCGCAAGTTGGTCCGGCCCGTTTCGCACAAGACATTCTCGCAACTCTGAGCTCTCAGATGCTGCGCAAGAGGTGGTCCAGCCTGGGGGCCCAGAAGACCACATGTTACATATCCCCCCTGGGACCCTGGGAGCCCCAGGAGGCCCCAGAGAGCTTCAGGAGGCCGCAGGACGCCCAGGACAGGCCCCAGGGGTCCGCAGGAGATTCCCAGGAGGCTCCCAGGAGGCCCCAGGAGGCCCCCTATCAGAACTTGTCAAGTTAATACCCATCCGGTGTCGATTCGTTGATTTTCCTGCTCTTGTGCCCACCCACCCCCCATTTTGGGGGGCCCCGACGGCCACATGTTAGATATCCCCCCCTGGGAGCCCCAAGAGGCTTCAGGAAGCCCCAGATGGGGTCCAGGAGGCCACAGGAGGCCCAGGAGGAAGCCCCAGGAGGTCACCAGGAGGTCCCAGGAGGCCCCAGGAGGCCCCCGCAACTCGGAGCTCTGAGACGCCGCGCTCGAGGTGGTCCGGCCCGTTTCGCCTGAGACTTCCTCGCAGCACGTTTCGCCCGAGACATCGTCGCAACTCTGGGGTCCGAAATGCCGCGCGCGAGGTGGTCCAGCCCGTTACGCTGGAGACATCCTCGCAACTCTGGGCTCCGAGATGCCGTTCGGGATGAAGAAGAGGTGGAGGAGGAGGAGGAGGAGGAGGAGGAGGAGGAGGAGGAGGAGGAGGAAGAGGAGGCATGGCGAATGTACGCGGCGCTAATGCGAGAGCCACATGTTGAAAACGACCCTCCCTCCATCCGTGAAACCCTTGCTAACTTTCAAGGCGAATGTGCGTGGCGCTACGTCGAGAACCACGTTTTGAAAACGATCCGCCCTCAACCCGTGAAACTCTTGTAAATGTCTAAGACGGATGTGCGCGGCGCTAAAGCCAGAGCCACATTTTGAAAACCAACTGGCCTTCTTCTGTGAAGCTGCTGCCAACAATTGAGCTTCAGGACCATAAGAGGCGAGGAAATCTGAAGCGAAACGCCTGGGCCGCCCTGGTGCGACAGAGAGGAGCCATTCATAAGGAAACATAATGGAGGACATGGAGGGGGAGGAGGAGGACCCTGAGACTTTGGCGCTGCAATCTCTTCACACTGAAGCGAAACTCCCCAGATGGGGTCGGAGTAGTAGATGGGCTCGGAAGATCTCGCCGCATCGCCGCTGCATCGGCGATATCGGCGATGCATCGGCGCCGTCCTCGTGGGAATGGTTGGGGTCTGCATCGAATCGCATCGGCAATGAATCGGCGATGCGGCGCGACCCTCCGACCCCATCTGGCCCGGCCACATCCGGGAGGAGACCGGTGCGGGAGTTCCGACGAACCCCTCCTGAAACCTTCCTGGTTTTAGGAAGGTTTTTTGGAAGGTTTTCCCGGGGGGGGGGGGCGAGGAAGGTTTCAGGAAGGTTTTTTTTCCCAACCATCCTGTGGTGTTGGGTCCTCGTTTTGAAGAGACAGCGCCCCGCGTTCACTCCTTCCTTCCTTCCTTCCTCCCCCCTCCCTCCTCCCTCCTCCCACTATCACGGCACACCCCTCACACGTTTCGTGGCCCCATAGGGAGCTCCACCGAGGGCCCCAGTGGCTGCGTTCGCATGGCGGCACCGCACCCATTTCGGCACACCGCTCACACGCTTCGTGGCCCCATAGGGAACTCCACCGAAGGCCCCAGTGGCTGCGTTCGCATGGCGGCACCGCACCCATTTCGGCACACCCCTCACACGTTTCGAGCTCAGCCGAAGGCCCCAATGGCTGCGTTCGCATGGCGCCATTTCGGCACCCCTCACACGCTTCGTGGCCCCATAGGGAGCTCCACCGAGGGCCCCAGTGGCTGCGTTCGCATGGCGGCACCGCGCAAATTTCGGTACACCCCTCACACGTTTCGCGGCCTCATAGGGAGCTCCACCGAGGGCCCCAGTGGCTGCGTTCGCATGCACCCATTTCGGCACACCCCTCACACGTTTCGTGGCCCCATAGGGAGCTCCACCGAAGGCCCCAGTGGCTGCGTTCGCATGGCGGCACCGCACCCATTTCGGCACACCCCTCACACGCTTCGTGGCCCCATAGGGAGCTCCACCGAAGGCCCCAGTGGCTGCGTTCGCATGGCGGCACCGCACCCATTTCGGCACACCCCTCACACGTTTCGTGGCCCCATAGGGAGCTCCACCGAAGGCCCCAGTGGCTGCGTTCGCATGCGGCACCGCACCCATTTCACACCCCTCACACGTTTCGTGGCCCCACCTAGGCCCCACAAGGGCCCCAGTGGCTGCGTTTCGCGTGGCGGCACCGCACCCATTTCGGCACACCCCTCACACGTTTCGTGGCCCATAAGGAGCTCCACCGAGGTCTCCAGTGGCTGCGTTCGCATGGCGGCACCGCGCCGATTTCGGCACACCCCTCACACGTTTCGTGGCCCCATAGGGAGCTCCACCGAGGGCCCCAGCGGCTGCGTTCGCATGGCGGCACCGCACCCATTTCGGCACACCCCTCACACGTTTCGTGGCCCCATAGGGAGCTCCACCGAGGGCCCCAGTGGCTGCGTTCGCATGGCGGCACTGCAACCATTTCGGCACACCCCTCACACGTTTCGTGGCCCCATAGGGAGCTCCACCGAGGGCCCCAGTGGCTGCGTTCGCATGGCGGCACCGCACCCATGTCGGCACACCCCTCACACGTTTCGTGGCCCCATAAGGAACTCCACCGAAGGCCCCACTGGCTGCGTTCGCATGGCGGCACTGCACCCATTTCGGCACACCCCTCACACGTTTCGTGTCCCCTGAGGGAGCTCCACCGAGGGCAC